GAGCGCGGCCTGCGAAGTCCCTGATTCGGTCCTTCTATGTGCAAGGAGCCTTTGCCCAGTACGCTCACATTTCACTCGGGCGAGAGGACCCGGGTGTAACCTTTCCAGAACTCGGATCCTGCACATACCACTCCTCCATAGCGGGAGGGGGGAGGAGGCCAAGGGGGACTAGGTCCGCTCCGCTTTTCACCACTGGGAAGCTGCAGAGGGCAACGGAGGGAAGGAGGCTAACTATGGAAACCATCCTGTCCTCAAACCCACCAGGACCTGAATAATCCTGGGAGTGGACTCAGGGGACAGGCTCCCAGCTCGGGGTTGGTTCCCTGCTGAGGTCACTGTAGTAGTCTGTGTTCCTGTAATGGAGTGAGGGAGTCTGTGAATGAATGAATGAATGAATGAAGCTAGCTCACCAGCCCCAGGTTTAAAAAAAAAAATTAACACAGTAAAAATCACAGCTTGGTTCAAATGTGATGTGGCACGTAGAATAAGATAGAATCCTGGTCTGGGAAGTTCTGAGTTTCAGGCCTGGATCTGCGTTTCTCAGCTGTGTGACCTTGGGCAAGTCACTTCTTGGGACTTCAGTTTCCAACATTAGTCAAACGTGGATCAGGCTGTCCCTAGGATCCCTTATACTCTAGATCAGGTGGCATAATGTTAGATTTACCCTGTGACCTTGAAAACTCATTTGCCTACATCCTCGTTTTCTCTGTTTTGGTCTAGTGGAAATACCATCTAATTGTTTCACTGGCACTTTAAGATATTAGTATGCTGTCTGGTCTTCCCAGTGTCCAAGAGTATAAATTAGTAATGTGGACAGGTGCAGTACTTCTTCAAATCATAAAAATTGCTGGGGGAAGGCATTAGTGCTCAATTGCAGCAGACATTTTAAGTTAGACAATCCACACACCAAATGGTGTAGAAATAATTAATGGTCTTTCAGCAGAACTCAGTGAGGGAACAAATTAACATTAATACTTAGAAGGATTGAGTTCTAAAGAACTTTGAACTCACTGGAGATGGGAATTAGCACTGTGTCACCAACTCCTAAATCATGGTTTGGATGAAAATCATCCAATCTGGAATTCAGGAGCAAACGTGCTTTTAGGATTATCTGGATATCTGAGATCTGGATTAGGACTACAGGGAGCTCCGAAGTGCAAGCTCGGGGACTTGGTGGGACTTTCCACTATTCCTATTGCCTCAAGAGACACAGAACCTACTGCTGACTGAGCTCTTTCACCTCCTGCCGCTTCCCTGTTCTGACCCACTACTCAAACACTGGAGGCTGCCATGTAAGAGTGATACTAAGGCTCCAAGTGACTGGCATCCAGAAGCAGTAGAGCCATTATGAGCAATCCAGAGGAGCAGCTCCTGAAATGCAAGAGTACAATTTTGTCATTAAAAGCAGTTAAATCACTCTAACAGAAATTGGAGACAGACTGTCAAGGAATGAGCAAAAACAATGAGGTTATTAGACGATGGATTCGTCTTCTCCAGGGAGCATTTTGAAAAGCTTCCTCCTTCAATCCTGCTATCCTCTTTACCCCCAGTACACACATTTCTACAAAGGCTGCACAAAGCAATTCGTAGGGAAATGATCCAGTCTTCTCCTGGAATCAGCACTGATGCCTTACGAATTAAGACCTGACTGACTTTTATGATTCGCAAAGAAACAGAGTTACTCAGAGACCCCTTTCTCTCACATTGCTAAATCTAAGAACCCAGGGTTGGACTTTAACTAGCTTTCATTCCTAATTATGATTTCATCTTAATGCCATCTGTGGTAGTATAAATTCAGGGACTGAATTTCATTTGCTTTGATTCTTTGTAGGTGAGCTAACATAAAAGCACATAGGAACACATCCCAGAAGTGGCAGTGACAATGTCATTGGGGCATTTCACCCATTTTCTGCTTGGAGGGATTAAATGCTCCTGACTATAGGATGAAAAAAACAAAGTACAAATCTTGAAGTTATTTTAATGGTAATTGAAGTCTTTTCTTACCAAAAGGAAAGTTTTACTGGAATCTTTACAAGAAGAAAGTTATATAATTTTTTTTAAGAGTAAGAAAAATTTATTGAGGGAAAGAAAGCTTCTGTCTGAGAAGACATAAGGGGGACTGGAAAGTGGGTTGCCCTCTCACCCCACTTCTCCAAGATGTTTTATGCAGCAAAGCCACATGGAGAGGTGGGTACAAAGTGGGACAAAACTATAAGAACCAATGGAAATTACAAAGCAGGCATGAGGTGGGGCAAAACCATGACTAACCAATGACATTACAAGTACAGTCACCCAGGTAATATTGATTAAGTGGGGGTCAAATGGGGGAGCAAGTCAGGTAGCAAGCGTACAAGGATTTTTCAGTAAGGGTGGGGGTCAGGCATATTTCCTGGAAAGGCTGGATTAAGACCTTGGCCCCCCCCCAGGTGATTGATACCTGTTTAGAATATCAATCACTGTTCTTTATCCCCAGGGGAAGCACAAGGTTTCTCTCCTCTTGCAATTCTGGCCACAGTGAATGTGTCTCTATTGTCCTCCATGTTGGCTCCTTGCTGTGTTGGCTCCTTGAGGGAGTCCCTGTCTAACTGCCTGCAAGATATCTAATTAACTTACCTATCTGCAGTATTCCCCCCTCTGAAGAAATACCCCTAACTGCTATGAAGGGGAAAGGGTGAAGACAGCTCTGGCTACTTCCAGCTGAAGAGGATCAAAATTGTGATCAGCAGTTAGAGTTACTCTACAGAGGGTCTCTCTAAAGGCCTTCTATAGGTACCTGGTATTGTCATCTTGGTAGCTGTATAGCTTTTAAACTGAAGGAGACAAAGCCAAAGAAATAGTTAGGAATGCAAGAGCCAAATTATAAAGTCAGCAGGATTGCTATGAATATAGCCCACAAAGAGGATAAAGGAGAAGGTAGGTCCAGGGGACTTCAGAATCCAACAGAGAAGTTGTGTAACAGCAGTTATGAGCTGTTTACAAGGTTGACCTGGTGGATCCTGGTAAAAGAAGTCTAGCACATTTGTCACTGGTTCCGTTTGTATGACTGCTTGGAGTTTGGCAGCCTCTAGGCAAGAATAAACAAAACTTATAAGAGATTAGAGTACGTATAATCTAAGCACTAGAATGAAGGGCAGGTTGGGGAGAAAGTCACACTTAGAAATTGAAATAGTGGTTGAATCTGCTGGTCTTAGATTCTTTCACTGATAGAGGTTATCTATAAGTCTGATACTTTGTCATAAGTCTCTCTAGTTTTAGCTGTGAGATAACAGACAATTTGAAGAACAAATTTCACTAAGAACTACAAAACTCTACCTGAGCTCTTATAGATTTTACCATTTTTTTCTCTCTAATGATCTATAACCATGGTCAGCTACTGGTAAAGCTGAAAACTGCCAGAAGGGTTCAGTAAATGGAGCCCCTTTTTATATCTAGCTTTATTACTATGGCATTATTTTATACCTCTTTTGCTTATTCTTTTCTGCTGGGTGTTTAAGACCAAGTTAAAATGAGACCTGGCTCAGTGGTTCTGTTGTCTTTCAAGCACAAGGACCCTAGTTTGATCCCTGGTGGGTGGGGGGGTGGGGGGTGGTGAGATCTGTGTCAATCAGTGTGAACCTCTTGCTATCTATTAAGGTCAGTTAAGCCTCTTTGGGCATGATTTTGGAACCATGCATAGAGATTCTCAGCTCCTTTGTCAGTGTCAGCTGTCAGGACGGGTCATGGCCTTGCTTGACCATGTTGCTTTCAGTGAAAGCGTGGGAGACTTTTTTCTCTTTGTGACCCTCCTTTGGCACACAGTATATTTACCCTCTGGTGCCCAGCAATCTCCCTGCTCAGGAGGTTGAGTGACTTACCAAAGATGTAGGATCCTGTAGGAAAGTTTCCTTTGTGTCCTGGATCTTGTAGACCTTGAGGGGCCAGGGCCAAAATATTGGCTGTCCTCGTAGCCCAGTCACCTTTCTAGTTTTGGTCTCCAAACTTCAGTTGTTGAATACCCAGAAGACAAGATAAGTGACATTAGTAGTTTAACTATTATAATTTTGTCTGGACGTTAAGCACTTTGCAGGATAAAGCACAATTAGATAGCTGTTATTTCTTATCAACCATAGTTGTTTTAGTAGTTGAATCCTTGTAGAATGTTAACAGAAAACAGTTATATATGTTATACAGAAACAATTATATATATTATACAGAAACTTAAGATCAAGAGCCACACATAGTATTTTAGCATGACAATCATGATAACATTTTCTTTGTAACATTTGCGTGTTCATCTTAGTATGAAATAGTCATTCAGTCAAACACCTCCATCTGATCACAAGACGTTAAATGACATAAAGAAAACTCTTATTTGTTATCCTTAAGTAGGATGCCATCTAAGGAGAACATACATATTGTCCTATAAATGACCTTAGGAGTTCATAATGTCTAACCTCTAGTTTTAGTTTGTGATATTTTTTTGACTGTTTGGTGACTGAGCATCCTTAAGTGTGGTGACACAGATAACATGTATCACATAAGTTTTTAAGAAAACTACTATTGACTGGTTATCTCATACTGGCTTGACATGTAGCTTTTATCACAAGTAGCTGGAGTGCAAGAAAAAGGCAGATACCTGAGTCAAAAAGATCATTACCATAAATATCCTAGAGGACTTGTACACCCAGAAGGCATGAACATATACACCATGAAACAGCAATGGGTATCAGTTACATGAAACCCTTTGTCCTTTAATTTAGTTTTGTACCAAGAGTATTTTAAATAAAACCTTATTGTTTTCCCATCAAAAACTTAGCCATTTGACCATGACCCATGTATACATATCACAAT